CCAATTCAATCGAATGAAATTGTATTAGTTTTCTCAGCGAGCTAGTTCTTTAGTAAAAAGATTTCCTTCATTAAGCTGTAGAAAGTCAGTTAGGTGCCACTTTTTTTTTCATGTCATTTTCAAATTCCATCGCCAGCTGTATTATACTTTAGTAAAAATATTCAGGGTGAAGAAAGGAGGATAGGAGTAAATGAGGAAGAATTGCCGAGCAATATCCCTTGTTTGCTGGCTTGATTCGTCATCAAGGCAATCCAATATGATTTGGTAAGCCACCGTAGATCGTTGTATAGGCCAAATATGTCTTCAATCATCTATAAGATGCTTCAAAAAGTCGAATGCGTGCGTTCTCTCTAAGAGATTGTTTCACGGCTTTATTCTTCCTTACCTGTCCCTCTTGGAACAAAGGCAGAACGATCCAGTCATCCAAATTGCTTTCGTTCGGCACTAGACTTGACAGATATCGCACTGACAGATTCTTTACATATTTGCTAACATCTACCAATTGCTTGTGGCTGAGCTAAAGATGGAAAATTTGAGCGCAGTTTACTAAGAAGAATAACCACTAGAGAATGTCATAAAATGGTTCCCACTTACAGGATTTGTTCTTTCAAGACGCTTGATCTCAGAATTGTAATTGGCATGCTAAATGCAAAGTGCTTTAGAGTTGAACAAATCACAGACAAAAACAATCTCAATATACAACAAAGAAAACAGACAACGACGAAATTTTAATGATGACGAGTTCTGATGTAATTTTCCTGTTGAATATGGCTGCAGCAATACTCTCTCTCTCCCTCTCTTCTTCTCTTTCTCTCCTCTCTCTCTATATCTCTCCCCTCCTCCCCTCTCTCTATTTCTTCTCTCTCTCTCCTCTCTCTCTCGAGAGTATACCTATCAACTGCATCCAACATATAAATGTTGGAACTTTTGAAAAGCTCTCAGTGAAAAGTGAACTTAATAAGTAACGAACCGCTGCGTCCATGACGATGACTCTTCAGATGGAAATCGTTTACCTCACGACTCGACGAGAAGAAACGCAATTGGAAGTGCGCAGAATCTCTTTCTGACACGGAGCTCGCCTATTTGACACCGTAAAGTCTGAATTGCTCTTAAATCTGGGTAATCAGACTATTTATCTATATATTTTCAGCAACGATGCGACGATAACAACGAAAAAATGGCAGCAAAGGTATAGAAGCTCACGGTGTAACTAATGCAATATTGTGGTGGTCAAGTGATTTTTGAAGAGCATTTAGTGCTAGGGTGTATATGCAGTGAGGAAGATAAGAATGAGATAATAGTGATAAGATGCGTGAAATCGATTTAGCAGCGGTGCTGTGGAGAGACGCGTAAGCTGAGATATAGAGCGCGCAACTGAGCAGAGGGAAACTCACCTGAGGCGGAGTCACAACGGAACAGATAGCCGTGATATGTGAAAATATCGATGGTACAGAAGGGGAGGGGGCGTGGCCGGGTGGCGATACTCGCTGCCGCGCGCGTGGAGCCGAGCGCGCTCTAGGAAACGCCTTAGCCGGGCTATCCTCGAGATTACAAGGGACATGCTTGTGCAGTATTTTACGACTTAAAGAGGAGGAGAAAAACGAACTTATTGCTAAAAGTGCTGGGATACACATAGTGAAAAAATGCTGTGAGACGGATCACTGAGATCAAAACTAAAAAAATAAAAGCACACTCCTCTACAGGGATGAACCAAAGCGATCGATGGAAGGGGGGGGGGCGACTGTAAGAAGTGAAAGAAGCGGTAACTTGCATATATGTGTGAGATACTGGGTTGGCAAGATATTTTTCAGATTGGTGCTTCAGTGCAAGTCGTTTCTGTTTTTTTCTCAATCAATAAAAGCAGAATGATTGTCCAAAGTATTCCCTTCCAGCTTCAATCACTTTCTCCCACTTTTACGGCAATCTCATGATTCCGCGGCGGTAGACTCGATGTCGAAAATCGTTGGGGCATGCGAGTCGTCAGCGAGGGAGACGTTTCAGTTAGATTCATAATAGCTTGCCGGTCAATTGCAGGCAGCCGTGTCCTTGCTCGTTCGTCAAATGTCTATTTCTGGCCCTGAATTCATTCAAATGACCAAAAAGGGCAGTTCATCCAACTGCTCCGTCACCTCAGGCTTTGTTAATCCGGCGCAAAGTCTCAGCATCACTTAAACCCATGCTTCATTCGTGTAGCATCAACAATCATTTTTGCTCTCGGGACAAATCCATCTTAAAGCAAATGCATAAGTATTACATATCAAAATAACCGCAGAAAGCTGATCTTAACGATAGTGAAAACAAAAACAAGAATGCATGAAAAATCATAATTAAAAACGAAAAAGTCCGGAGGATTTCTTGCCAGTCTCATAGCTCATAAAGAAATTTCGGAAATACACTTCATGACGGATACTTGAGGACTTCATGAAGAAATACACTTTTATAGATGAGCAATGGAATGACGACGATATGACCACGTCAGAACACGACCGTGTTTGATGAGGTATGGAGCGGAGTGCTACTGAATCATGGCCCTATATATCATTATCGTATGGGCGGAGACGGTTAGAGTTAGAGAGCCAGAGAGCTTACGAGAGTGTGTGAGTGGGCGTAGTGTGCGAGACGCGAGCGTGTTTTTCAGCGTCGCGGACACAGCTCTTTTTGAAGATTGGCTCGCTGCCAAAGCAGCTGGTCAATAGTCTGCAAGAGTCAAGATCACTTCAATAATGGCACAGCTATGTTGATCACTCACAAGGACTTTTCCGTACATGACTACTGCTGAACAAGCTTGTTGTGACAAACAACTTCATTTGATAGAGTTGTGTCTTAACGTAGAGATGGCGCGCTGGTAAACGAGCGAGGAATGAAACTTACGTGTGCAAGCATGAGAACAACACATTCCAAGTGAAATTTACGCTTATTGATTGATGAAGAGGAGCGCCACTTTCTACGTCTGAATATGACACGGATGCACTCGGCTAATAAGAACATATTATGCCTATCGGTTAGCGTTGTTCCAAGCCGGCGGCCGTGGCTGGTACTACTGCTCGTTTACTCATCTGCCACTCAACAGCTATCTGAAAGACTCCGCCCATCTCACTATCCGTGACCTTCTATAGTTGCTTGGCGGACAGTTTCACGTGATGGCCACAACGATAAAAATGGTTTCAGGGTGGATGGAACGACGAAAACGATCTAACAAAGCCCTCACTCAATACATTTGCATGGAGTGATCTTTATGCAAGTTCCAGAATTTCCAGAAATCGACTTATATAATTTTCGATGCATGAGGCATTATATTGACCTGAAAATTCCTTCTTCATAGTCTGCTTTTGTCCGTCTCTAATTTCCATATTTTGATTAGGACAATGAAAAACACATCAAATAAAATGACAGTGACTTCGGAATACCACCAGCTGCGTGTATACTTATCACTGGTTTCCCTAATAATGCCAAAGGACTAGGGTATGTTGCAAAATGTTCTAGAAAGACATAGGCATGGCAGTAGCGCCATCGCTCGCCACTCGTTTGAAAAGACTATTGAAAAGTGTGTTTTAACTCGCAAGCTCAAGCAAAGTCCAGTTACCGCTCTAAAGAAATCATGCGCTCGATTACGTGCGACTGGGAGGAAACGCTGTTTTGGTATATGCCTAACAGCAAATAGACAATCAGTGCCGACATTTACGGGGAGAAAACTTCGAAAGTTGGCCACAGAGGTGGGAGAGAAGCGCCCAAAACGACTCAGTGTCACGCTTCTCATATAACACTCGACCTCACATTGCAAAGTCGTCTGACCAATTTTGCAGAAACTGGGCTGAACCACGGTACCACATCCACCGCATAGCCCTAATATTGCTCCATCGGTTTATCATCTCTTCGAGGCCTTAGCGCATCATTTGCGGGAGAAGAATCACGAGAACTCAGGTAGCTCAAAGTGACCTCACCGTCTTCTTTGATCGTCAGCCTTATTTTTTTGTGGGTAAAAGGCAACATATCATCTTTGCTTAATAAGTGATTGCATGTCATTGATTATGACGATGTTCAGACTGCTGATTGAATGATATCTTTGAATAAACGACAAGAGACTGACAAAGAATTACGAAAGAAATTGTGGGTCAACCCATACGTATATGTACCGCTCTGTCTCTTATTCATCAATTTGAAGAAAGCCTTTTATTCAGTGGAAGGAGAAGCGGTCATAGAGGATTTGGATAACCAGGGCACCCATACTCGGTATATATTGATTCTTCGTGAGCTAAATAAATTTTTCACAACCAAAATATCGCCATTCTGCAGCAATATTACCATTGACATAAGAAGTGGGGTTCGAGAAGGCGATACAATCTCGGCAAAATTATTCACTGCCACCCTCCAAAGCGTCATGCAAACCTTAAAATAAGACGATACGGGAGTCAAAATTGACGGTCGACAATTACACCACTTTCGCTTCGTTAATAATATCACCCTCATTTTAGCAAGCATCAGCCAAGCGGAAGAAATGCTGAACGATTTCGACAACGACTGTGGAACGACTGGCATCCAACTAAATCTAACGAAAACAATGTTTACGAATAGCGGATGGGTTTTGAATGCCCCATTCACGTTCACTGAAACAAAGATTTCCGGTTGCTCCAGTTACGTCTATCTAGGCCGAGAAATTAACATGATGAGCGAAATAGCTCCAGAGTTGAGTAGGAGGAAACGGGTGGCATGGAGAACGTTTAAGAGCATCGACGATGTAGTGAAGAAGAGAAAAAACATGCGACTCTGTGCCTATCTGTTCGACTCGACAAATATCCTTGCCCTAACGTATGCAGCAGAAACCTGGTCGCTACGCAAGCAAGATGAAAGATCCCTTAGCGTTATTGAACGCGCAGCCGAAAGATCGACGCCCGTATCTCGTGTATCACAAATCTATCTAAATGCTTTCTATTTTGACTGCCACTTGCAGTGGTATGATCTCTATAGTATACCCAATATGTGGAGTACTGTGCAAAAACGTCCGCGTCAGTCGGGATTCGAACCCAGATCTCACTCTTTCCGAGAGCGTATGCTAACCGTTGCACTACCGACGCTCGTTGTTGCACAGCACTCTTATTTACGCTATTACGCGTTGTCTGCCAACAGCCAACCGTCGACGGTCTGGCGGGGCCGCCGCTATCGGCATTGAACCCACTTGTGTTGACAGACATTGGTTATCGATAATCAGTCTAAATGCTTTCTATTTTGACTGCCACTTGCAGTGGTATGATCTCCATAGTATACCCAATATGTGGAGTGCTGTGCGGATTCGAATCCCGGCTGACGCAAACGTTTTTGCACAGTACTCCACATATCACAAATCTCGCAAATGAGAGAAAGGATTTGAAGCTCCAATCTACGTCAGCGATCGAATATCAGAGACGCCGTTCTACACACCAGGATATTGAAAACAAAGTGAACCGGACACGTGATGCGCTTCAATGACAACCGATGGACGAGAGCCGTTACAGACTGGATTCCGCGGGATATCAAGCGCTCGACAGGAGGACCACCGACTCCTTGGCCCGATTTCTTCACGAAAGGCATAAAAAAAGATATGATTTTTAGTGAATCCTTGAAGCGAGGAGGATCTACTGGGCTAATCTTGCACGCGATAGGTAAAATTGGAACTGTTTCTGGCGCCCTCTTGAGTCACTCGACGATCAACGGTACGACAGGTGATATATATGCATATATTTAAGATAACTATATCTATATCATATATCTAACGACGCGTACATAATGGAATCGTTCGACGTAACCGCTCTTTGTACAAACTCGTCGAATGAGTCCACAATGCAAGCCATATTCGAGCTTCTTACAAAGCACGAAAGAACTATGAACATATATGACTTTTCCATCCGGCAGGTTATGGCTCTTTTGAAGGAGTGTCTAAACTATTCAATCTTCAGATGGTCCGGGAATTTTTTTTTTCCGCAGATCGGAGGGCTGGCAAAAGGACAACGATTTGCTCCGACCCTTGATATCGCTTTTATGTCTAAAGTAGAGGCGCCAATACTCGATCTCCGGCCGTTACTCTACTGTAGGTGTATAGATGATTGTTTTGTCGTCTGCTCAACGCAAGAGGAGATGGACAAATGTTTTGAGTTGTTAAATAGCCAATCAGAGTACATAACGTTCACCCGTGGGAAACCTAAGGCAAACTGGCTTCCATTTTCAAATGGTAAAATTAACCTCTCTAGAAACTCCTACAACACAAAGTGGTATCGTAAACCAAGCAACAAAAACATCCTGGTTCACTACCTATCCGCTCATAACTCGCACACAAAATGCGCACTTATAAAAAACATGTTTCGAACAGCTGCTAATGTGTGCACAGAAAAAGAACGCGAGGTAGAGTCCCTGAGTTTGGCGAGAAAAAATAGCCATCTCTGATGGCTACAACACGGTAGGAGCTTCTGGGTTGAATTTAGAGGAAATTCGGCGCCCCTATACGGAAGGTCTAGGAAGGATAAAGTTCCATTCATCCTGTCTTTAATTTCCAACGAAGTGAGTGCGGCCATTAAACGCTGCTTGAAAAGAGCAGGTTCAGATAATTCGCTAGCAGTGGTTGAGATACCACCAAAAACACTAAAACGCCAATAAGTCTGCAACCAACTTGTCTGACCGCTTCTGCGAAATCAACGATTGCAAAGTTTGCCCAAATGGCGGAGATGGCGACTGGATGAGGTCGGGTACAATTAACTTAATCTCTTGCGAGGCATACGGGGATGAATATATTGGCGAAACGGGTAGACCAATCTGCATCCGCGTAAAAGAGCACCTAGCTGGGAAAACGTAACTCCGACCCGAACAACCCCACTAGGCACGCATATTCCAGCGTTAAGCAATTTGATTACGTAATTATTGCTCTAGTTATGACTTATAAGAAGATCTAATAAATAGAAATAATATTATGTATCATATTCCGATGATTTTTGTCTGACATAATTTATAACTACAATTTATGGCTTTTCTCGGTTGTTGATATTGTCATTACTCAAGACTTCATCACGAAAGAAGCTGTCTGTCGGGGCCGCTAATTATATATCTCAGTTAATTAATTAAACCCGTCCATGAATCTTCTGTGATGACAGAAAAGGATGAACAAGTTGCAACGATTACGCAGTTCTCTAAAAAACACTACCGATGGAATGTGGGAGATTTTTCAACCGTTCTATTTTGAACGCTCCAGGAAGTGGTGACGGTAGTCCACAGTGGACAGACCTCAATAAAATCGACTTCGGCCTTTTAAGTCGAATTCTTAAAAATCTATGCTCCGACGAAACGTGGAGTTGATCAAAAATGTGAGTGCCACAGCATATGCAATTACCGTGAAACTTTTCAATGGACAATCACAAGTAAATTCGTCTTTTCTGCTTTTGAAAGAAGAAGAGTTTACTTTAACAAATCCTTACCGAATAAAGAGTTTTGATCTCTGAAGACCGGAAAGCGCTGATAAAACTGAGAAAAACCCAGTATGCTATATTGTGGTGTGTTTGTAGTATATTGGTGATCTAATGCCTGCGCTAAGTGTAAGAGGCATGAGTTCATGTCGATGTATGAGGTGCATGGCGCCACAACTTCCTTTCAAAGTGAGTGATTGAGTCTAAACAATAAGGTTAAGACTCAGGATTTAACACTCCCACTAATCTGACATGAATAAGTAGACAAATTTGAGTGTGTCATGTGTGTAGTAGATAAGAAGTTGAGAAAAATGAGGCATAAAAATTGTGGAACCTGCTGATTAGTGGACAGTGATCACTGCTGAGTCAAGATCATACATATGAATCCAGGAGTTGCCATCAAAATCTTGTGCTTTTTCAACAAAACCTTTTACTCTTTTTAATATCTTAGTACTCGGGGAATGATATTATTTAGGCTTACAAAATACTGTCTCTGCTTACTTTTTTTCAAAATGACATTGCGCGTTATCAAAAATCGTACAAAACGTACGTGTGTTGGTACGGCGCAACCACATCAAAACGTATCGCATCATTTCCATCTTCCTCAATCAGATACTGTTACACTTTCCATGGCCTTTTTTTCGCAGTTCTTTTCCACCAGTTCTGCTCCCAATAATACTGAACGTACAGAGCAAAAGAATTCCATTTTTTGCAGTTAGGATGAATATTATGTTAAGTATAGAATCGATCAATTACTTATCACCGCCGTATCGGCTGTCGTCTCGTTAAGCGTCGAGCTCGAGCGAGCAATGAAACATCCCTTGTTTCCTATCGCATGCAACATTAGCTCGGTAGGTGGTCATCGCCATAGAAATTTATTGAACATCCTATTTTTGTTCTAAGCTTTCGCGGAGAAATGGGGCTGTCGAGGTCGGTTTTTGTTAAGTCGTATTACATATTATTATATTTTATACACTCTGCAATGTAGGATAGTATTTGATCTTGATGGTTAACGTTGGCGGAACTTTGAGTATTTTCTTTTATTTGCAAGATACTCCTAGCACCGACCTTCCGAATGTGCACTCAACAACGTTAAATAAGGTTTCATCCTGGTTAGTATCGATTAGACTTTTGATGCATGTTAGGGAAGGAGTTACTGTCGACTCAAAAGGTAGACACGAAGTCGGATGATTCTTGTCCTCTTCACTATGTCCTCGATGATCTAGGCGTTCCTCAGGCCGCTCGCTCTGTCCTGCACAGCTCTGGAGCTAGGTCGTTTATCGTATTGATTTTACAATCTAAATAGAAGGAGCATTAAGAGATATTTATTCCATTGAGCGTGAATGGTCATTCGAAGCTAGTCCGATACTCATTAACATTGGCATTTAGTCGGAAATCTCGCTCTCCACAGGCGTTGTCGAAATCGGTCAACATTAATTCTGCCTGGCTAATATTCGATATTATAAGAACGATAACATCAGCAAAGCCAAAATGGTTCAGTTATCGATAGTCAATTTTCACCTCCATATTGTTCAATTTTAATGCTCGCATGACGTTTTGAAAAATATCAGTGAATAATTTTTGGCGAAATGGTATCGCCTGGTAGGATCCTCTCCTACGTGGGTAGTGATATTGCTATAAAATGGTCGAGTTTTAGTGACAAAAAATGTTGCAATCTCGAACAAAAGTTCACCGTTTTGTGATTAAGTAGCGAACAACTCAATAGACCTATTATTCAATAGGGTGAGTTTCGATGATTTCAACATGATACTTGTTTCTTGGAAAGACCGTCTTACTGCACTTTGGCACTTTACTGTTCCGTCTTCACAGCGTTTTTTTCGCCGTGTGGATTCCAGTACTTCTAGAATTCAAATTGTTTACTGTCATCTTCATGAACGTCGTAAAGAACTGGTTATGCACCATTCCTTGCAATCGCAGTGACAGCCTGGCTGCTGTGTTCCATAAGGCGTTGTTGTTGACTGCCGCAGAGGGTTGAATGGTGAGCTTGGCTTTACACGCGCCCCGCGACTAGACCACAACCACTCGGCCACGGCGCCCCCTTCTACTACACCGTAACAAGAAAATAAGACAGCTTCAAAACACGCCGCTCATTGCTTCTTGCCACGGTATGTGAGTGTTTGCGAATTGACATGTGACTGATCGACCGATCAGTGTTGTTTCTTCACCTTTCACCAGCGGCTCGGACTTTTGATATTAAGTTTGGGAAAAGCTTTGAAAAAAAAAAACTGGATCATAAATAAATAAATAAATAAACAAATAAATATATATATATATAATCAAAGTTTGTTATCCTTGCTTCAGCGCGGTAAGAATATTTTCAGAAAAAGCAAGTACATCCTTGAAATCTCTGAGATTTACAAGACCGAGCTCTTGATTATTTTTACCGGAATATGGATCAAGTATAAGTGTTGACTTCTAGTCATATCCTTACTGATTAGGCTTCAATATTGTTCTTAATAGGATCTAATAGAACTCAGCCAACGGAAGAACCTAACTGTCGCTTATATTTATCAAACTCTGAAGATCACACATTGCTATAAACCGTCTACAACACCGCATAATCGTTCACTTTGAGACGCATTAGCATTTTGAGCTTTTCGTTGATACTTTATATCCGCTAAAAACTT